GTCGGGTTAGTATAAGGTTATGGGGGCAAGGGAAGACAAAAAGTTCGGGTCCACGCTGGGGCTGTGGGCTTGGAGTTAGGCTGGAGTCGGGGTGCTGTGTTCGGGTGGTGCTGAACCTGCGCGAAGACACCAAAGATCGATGTTCTTTAACATGGAAAGTCCTGTGCCCAGCCCTTAACCCCTCTTAATCCCTCCGCCCTGACCACCAGATTCCAAACTCTAACAGCGCTGGGCCCCAATATGATTGCTGTTCTCACCATGAAATGCTGTGATTGCTCAGATAAAATTCTCCTCCAAGACACCGAGGATGCCCTGGGAATGTACAAGTCGAAGCCTCAGACTCCATGCATACCAACAGAGCCCAAAGAAGAACCAAGCGCGAGAAGTTGGGGTTTTGTGGTGTGTCGTTCGTTGCTGGAATCATACTAGAAGTACCTGCCCAGTGCTTGAAGCTCCAGGATTGAGGTTCTGGATTCTCGAAGAAAGAGCTCCGAGTCCCGTTTCCATGGAGATTGCAGCAAACGTGCAGTCAAGGTCTAGAGCACAGGGACAGGCGGCCTTGCCCGGAAATTGAAAAGGCAAAATATGTTGGAAATCTTATCAGTGCGATGAACAAGTATACATGGTGTATTGCCGCCCACCCACAGCAAGTAACACTGCTAAAGCAGGGCTGCAGCAAGGACCTAACACACTGTTGCCAAGTCACCTCCCTTCATAGTTTGCTTTGCCCCGGAGTATCTTTGAGTAATCCTACACTGCGACAGCTGCTGTGATCAGTGCTGGAGAAGCAGTAGTATTGCGAATGTATTCTGTTGACAACCACGAATGGCAGCGATGCCATGATAGCGTGTTTGGCATTGCTCTGGCTCTTCCAAGTCATACTCTATCATGTTATGATTAAACTAACGATTATCTGTTTGAGGATTGTTACCAACATCACATCATCACCATCATGATCGTCATCACCGTCGCCATTCGTATTTCTCCGGTGGCTATCGTTGCTACCTCTCCGGCTGCTAAGCCAAGTTAGGAGCCCGAACTTGAATCCACAAGTCCGGAGACTTGCATGTATTTGAGCTCCTGCAGGGAACAGATACCACCGCCATATAAGGGGTGTATTGTGATTCATATCTCCCGGCCTGCCTGCAACTGCGCCCTGAACCCAAAAGACTCCGAGCCATACGGCCATACGGTTTTTTGACAAGATATAAGGCCAAGCCCTGACAGCTGGCCCGAATTTTCGATGCCAGATGCCGAGAGTGTGTACCTTGAGGCCGATGCTCTGGGATTCGTGGAGCTGCAGCTGAGCAGCAAGCAGCAAGCTAGCACAGCCCAGTGTTGGCCCGCCATGGCATTGGTGAGCAGTTAAATGCTGCCACGGGGAGGAAGAAGATTTTCTTGAGTTTCCGAAACATGTTCGTTCTTGTCATTGAGACCAGGAAACCAAAGAAGTTAGTGCAAAATGAAACTGTTGAAATTCTGCCTGAAAAAAAAAGTGTACAAACCTGTACAATAGTCTGGAACACTCCGGCATGCCCGGCATGTCCGGCATGCGGCCGGTTGAGATGTCCAGAGAGGCAAAATCAGCTTCGAACGTTACCAAGTGACCAGTGCTCTTTTTCTAGCAAGAAAAATGTGCCAGACATGCCGGATGTGCCACGCAAACAAAAAAAACAAAAAATATTTTGGGCACTTGGACAATAGCTGTGCAATGCCGGAAATGTCGGTTTGCGCATGCCACATCAACTGCAGACGAACTGCTCTTGTGCGCGATTTTGAACGACATGCAGTCCAGAGGGTGCTGCTGGAAAATTACCAATGGAATTACCAAAAGAGCTCAAAAGCCGCTACGAAGTCTGCAAATAGCAAATGAAAGAATCCGTGCACGCGAAATTTTCGCGCAAAGAACATTCTGACGCAAGTTCGGAAACAAGCCTCATAAGTGCTCTGTCCAATTTTACAGACCATCCAACGTCAAGTAACCCTTGTTCTGGCTTGCAAACTTTGCAAAGATGACTTCTAAGCTCGTCTCAAAAGAAAACGATCCAAGGCAGATGGAGTGCAATCATGTGCAACACGGCTTCGGGTCTTTTTTCATCATTCCAATCAGGAATGCCGGCTCAAAATGCCTTCTGTACCCAGGCATGCCAGCGGAACGGCTCGAAAGCAAAAAAAGAAAAACTGCTTGTATCGTCGGCTGGACACACAGAAGCTCAACGTAGAAAACGCACGTTTGCCTCCGACTGTTGTGGCGCACAGTGCAACACTGAGGCCGCCGTTTCGGCAGCAGGCTTTTCCTAAACGTGGTGCGGCTGCCCGGAGGCGCGGTGCACCGCCAGAAGGACCCCTCGGACCGCAATGCGACGGCGGTGGTGGACCGGGCAATTCAAACTTTGAAGAAGGATCTGGCGGGCAAGGTGGCCCGGGACGGTGGGGGCTGGGGCGACCATGTGGAAGAGGCGGCGGAAGCCTACAATGCCAGGCCGCATGCGGCCGTGACGGTGGCCCCGGAGGATGTGGAGATGATGGCGGCTGCGAGCTTCCGGGTCTATCAAGACAATGCAGCGAAGTTCAAGCACAATGACGCGTTGACGAGGAGCCGTCAGCGGCGGCTCGAGGAGGCGGGGGCATTCCGGGCCCCCACCAATGCAGCGAGGAGCTTCCAGCCCCAGTACGGGGCGGTGCGGGAGGTTTCGAGCTACGATTCGATGACGGTGCGGGCCACCGACGGTTCGGAGACCCTGCTGAAGCATGCGCTCCCGGTGCCTCGCGGATCCGCGGAGCCTAAGGCGCGGCTGACTCGGCGGCCGGTGCCACTGGCGGTGCGGCAGCTTAGAGATTTCAATCCCGGACCCACGGCGCCACCATGATCTCTCAGAAAAAAAACCCAGGGATTGGAAGGAAACCTTGGTGAGACATTGAGACATTGAGACAATTGACCCTGGGATCAAGGCAGGGTGTCCACCATATCATCCCCAGGAGAAACCTTGGTGAGACATTGAGACATTGAGACAATTGACCCTGGGATCAAGGCAGGGTGTCCACCATATCATCCCCAGGAGAAACCTTGGTGAGACATTGAGACATTGAGACAATTGACCCTGGGATCAAGGCAGGGTGTCCACCATATCATCCCCAGGAGAAACCTTGGTGAGACATTGAGACATTGAGACAATTGACCCTGGGATCAAGGCAGTTTTGTCTCAATGTCTCAATGTCTCACCAGGGTTCCTCCTGGGGATGATATGGTGGACACCCTGCCTTGATCCCAGGGTCATTTGTCTCAATGTCTCAATGTCTCACCAGGGTTCCTCCTGGGGATGATATGGTGGACACCCTGCCTTGATCCCAGGGTCATTTGTCTCAATGTCTCAATGTCTCACCAGGGTTCCTCCTGGGGATGATATGGTGGACACCCTGCCTTGATCCCAGGGTCATTTGTCTCAATGTCTCAATGTCTCAGCGGGGTCCTTCCTTCGGACCAGAGAGCATGTATCGGCGAGCATCCAGAGCATCGGCGAGCATCCAGAGCACAGGCATCGGGAGCATCGGCGAGCATCCAGAGCATCGGCGAGCATCCAGAGCACAGGCGAGCATCCAGAGCACAGGCATCGGTAGCATCCTCGAGCATCAAAAAAAATGAGGTTCAGGCTAGGGTGCGGGATGGCAACCAAAAAAACTAGACCGGCTCTACCTAAACCGGGGACACCCCCCCTAGCCGGCAACCTTACACACACTGTGCCACGCAGGGACGATGCAGGGCAGCCTAGTCGGGCTAGGGTTCTAGGGGGTTCGGGGATCGAGAGGTTCGGGCGTTAAGGTAACCGGGGCAACCGACAAGACACACGCGCGCTCAGCACTTGCAGGGCAGCCTAGTCGGGCTAGGGTTCTAGGGGTTCGGGTTCCAAGAGGAGCTTAGGGACAACCGGGAAACCCCAAACATGCACTCTGCGGGCCACGACCGGTGCTCGAATGGACCTCGGCAGCCGCTTCGAAACATAACGAAAGGAGCACTCCTGTTGGGCCTCGTCCGTGACTTCTGCTCGGATGAACCTGTCGGGAGCTGCTTCGAAACATGACCACGCGAGCACTCCTACCTGGCCTCATCCGCGACTTCTCCTCGAAGGACCTGCTCGGCAGCTGCTTCGAAACATACCGAAAGGAGCACTCCTGCGTGCCTCGTCTTCGCCGACGGGTCCGCAGCGCCCGCCCGGTCCCAGGTAACAAAGAGCCGCTGACCAATGAGCGCGGAAATACACTCAGCCCTCAAGCATGCTGCGCTCACAGAACGACATGCAGACAATTGCACTCCACGGTCTTCGGTGGTCTTTTTTGACACTCCCGTCGATGCGGTGCGAGGTCGGCCGATCTGCCCCATCGCGGCGTCCCCTGTTGCCCCACTCACGCCCTTTTCCACGCATTTAGGGTTTCCCTTCAGAGATTGTTTACAAATTTGAAATATTGCCTGTAAGGCACACTTAAAGGGTTTCTTTTACTACATGTATGTGTTGAACCGGCTCTGACCCTGAGTCCCCTAGGCATCTAGATACGATGCTGTCTGACTCTAAGTAAACAAACAATTGTGCAAGGATGGTGGACCATCCGGGCTCATCCGCTGCTCACGGCGGCGGTCGACTGTGTCGGCTCCTTGCCACAGCAGGGCACTCACAGGGCAGCCTAGTAAGGTTCAGGGTTCTGGAGGATTCGGGCGCTGAGGGGCCGGACTTAGGGATAACCGGCGACCACGAGCTTAATTTAAACGTGGTGTGGCCAGGAATCAGTGACATCTTTGCTGCAGTCATCTAGTTCACTACAGCAGTGACCTAGATCGCTACTGTTGCCGATCTAAGCGCGCCACTTGCAGCAAAACTGACATCATGCACGTCGCAAACCTTGACATGTGAAACTGAGAGACCGTGCAAAAAACATGTGCAGAGCTAGATGGTGCCTGCACAGCACTGATTCTCCGATTTCCTTCACAAATCACATCGCCCGGCCTTTCAAGTTCGCTGCCACGGCAAAAAGCCGTAGCAGTCTAGCCTAGCAGTGATGCCGTCATGTGGAAGTCAAATGGCTGATCACAGAGCCGAGGGTTGGGCTCGCTGGTGTCCTGACGCAGGGAGGTCGATGCGCTTGCGACGCGTTGCCACGCTCCAGCCTGCCAGAATCGGAGGCTAGGAAGGAGCCAACAAAACAGCAGTCTGGGGCTCCGCGCTTCTTTTGAGTACAGGTAGATGTCGATATGCCTTGGAGCGATGTCCCTGAGATCGGGGTTCATCTGCTTGATGGCCTCGTGACTGGGGCAAATGTCGGGACAGGCAGCAAAAGGAAACATGCCGAGGGCGGGTCTGTCGCCAAGTCGTCCACATCATTGAGCTGCGCACCCTGTTTGAGCGCCAGCGGCCATCAACTCGACATGATATGGTGTGGATGGCCTCACGGGACTGCACCTTAAACGCCCGCTCCAGCTCCTCCTCTTGACGAGACCTTATCTGCGCAGAGGCGCTGCTCCAAAACGACCGGCAATCGGAATCCTCCTTGGGCCTCAGCTTGGCGGCGACCGTCCCATCCTGCGCGGCGAGCGGTGTCGAAACTCCCAGCCCCGAACCACCTCCCGAAGCCCCTGCCGACGCTCAGAAACACTCCAGCAATCCGGAGCCCAGCCCCTCCCCCACGCCCCGCGCCCCCACCAAGCCCGGCCAAGAACTCCACCACAGGGCTAACACTGCATGCGCACACAACGCCGTCCTTCAGGGCCAGCTCCCGCACCCAGACGACGGGTTCAGAGGTCTTGCCTCACAGAACGCCAAATGCTGGTATCTCGAATCCTCCATGGTAACATGTTTTAGCACCTGGAGCAACGGTCTCAAACCACTTCCGAAACACCGAAGCAGAGAACGGTGACCGACAAAAGAAAAACCATACTACCAGACTTCTCACCCAGCGTCTGCTCTGAGCTTTTGGAGACAGGTTGACGCTCTTCAGCGATTGGACGCTGTAGAGCTCAGGCTCGCCATCGTCTTTGAGCACCAACCTCCTTGCCACGAGGTCGCAGTCCACCGTGAAGGTGTTGATGCTTTTGATCCCCTTGCTCTTCACGTGAACGGTGTATGCGGTGTGGGCGATGTTGGGGACCAAGCCTATGATTTGGACATCGCCTTCTGAAGTCTTCCTCACGGTCTCGAGCATCTTCTCATTGTTGTTGCTGATGATGTAGAGACCCTTGTGCTCGGCATTCTTGTAGTTTTCGAAATTTTGGAAACGCTCAAGGTGCTCAGGGATTTTGCCCTTTGCGCCCTCGATGATAAACGTTGTAGTACCAATTTGGACCTTAAGGTCTGGCTTCCCCTTGCCCGTCCCTGACGCTTCTGGGGCAAAGGTCCTGTAGCCCATGTCGTGAAGCACACTGTGGGCGGCCTTGTTGTACTGCTGTTCATGCGGAAGACCATCTGTCGCCAACTCAGACTCATCTCCTTCAAAACTCACAACCTTGCAGAAGAGCATGTAAGGCAATGCTCGCATCAGCAAGTCTGCACAGTGTCGGGGATTCACTTCAATGCCTTTGCCAACTTCCAAAGCGCACTGTTTCTGCAGAATGAAGCGGTAATATGAAGCCAGTAGAGGGTTCGCCACTTGGTATTCCGTATGCGCGTTGTTCCAGTCCAGGCTTTGGAACTCTGCTTCAATGCCTCTGTCAGGTTTGGGAACTACAAAGCCATTGATGGAAAGCTCTCTCCGAACGTCCGCTTCTGCGATGCTGGTTGCCCCTTTGCAAAGAAGCTCTACAAACTCCCGAGGAATGCGTTCAACATCGTGGAACCTACCATTGATACGCACTGCACGGCTCTGTTGCACAAACCCTAGAAGCTCTGTGTCAGCACAGTTCCAATTCCCCTGCTTGTAGCTGTTCCGCACATATCCCACCGTCTTTCTGAAGTTCCAACTGTCAGCCGGGTTCTGCTTGCTCTTCACCCAGTGCATCGCAGCGATGAAAATGCCGCGATGCCCACCACAGAAGCTGGTGAAGAACTCGATGCTCTCTTTGTCCAGCTTGACGCCAGCTTCCTTCAGCTGTTCCTTCAGGTCTAGAGTGCAGGGTAGAGGTGGTGTCCACATAACCTTTCGGCTGATTTCCCTTGGCGTTGTCATGGCGAGGCTTGATGTACTTGAAGCATCACCTGACGCTGAGAACAGCAAGACCCGTGGTCGATAGTGTATGTCTGCTTTGAATAAGTCTGAGCATAGGTCTGGAGAGAGGAACAGTGTGTGAGCTTCATCATAAATCAGGGTCAAGTTGTTGTCCTTGGCTTGCTTCAGCGCACTCCGGAAAGCTGAACCAGCTCTGTCAACTTTGCCTGTTGCTTGTTGCACGGCTTCCACTGTGCTCACCCTCCAAGCATCGTCACGACCATGTTCAGTGAAGGGCACCTTCACATACTTCTCAGAGCGGCCCAAATGCTCTGCCAATGTGGTCTTGCCGATGGCCACGCCACCGCGGATGAATACAAACTCATGGTCTCCTTCAAACAGCTTCTCAATCTGCTCGGCATAACCCTCCACAGAAATGAAGACATGCTTCTCTTCATCAGCTTCCTTTCCAATGGGGGGCAATATTCGCTTCTTTTTAGCAGGTGGCTCTTCTCCATTTTGTGCAGATCGATTCATGGCAGAGAACATCTAACGTGTCCCACAACGCGGATACTCAATGTGTGCATGATAAAATGGCGGACAGTCTACCAAAACATATGGTGCGCTGTATCTCATGAAGGCTGCGGCTGACTGCTTGAATGACAAACATCAACTCATTGGGTTGTGCCAACACCTGCATTAACGGACACATGAAATCTCATGCCATCAAGCATCTGCCCTTCCGTCTATGCCAAAAGGCGCAAAGCGGCATAGAGCGGGATGACTGCACGGGCCGGTGGGTGACTGTACGAGGCTTTTGGGTGACTGTACTGGGCTTTCGGTGACGGCACGCGGCCATTTGCGAATAGGTTTGACACCAATTTCTAACGCAGTGACAACCACGCTGAACTTGCTCGCACCCAGGCACAGCTGCAACGGACGAATCAATTCAACTTCCAACCATTTTGCTGAGTGCACGCACGATGAGCTCCCTCCGAATGTCTTGTCTGATGGGCGTGGCCCTGCACACAAGAGCTCTAACACAGCTGTATCGTCCTTTGACTTTCACTGCGTGGCTCCCTTTCAAAGTGCTCAGAATCTCGGCGTCGCTACAAGCCCACCCTCCATTGCTATTGCTATTCCGCACAGACCCCACCGTCTTTTTGAAGTCCCAGCTTTCACCACTCGTCTGCTTGCTCTTCACCCAATACATTGCTGCGATGAAGGTGCCTCGATGTGCACCACAAAACTGGATGAAGAACTGGATGCTCTTCTGGTCAAGCATCACACCGGCTTGCTTCATCTGTTCCTGAAGCTCCGAGGTGTGGCTCAAGGGAGGCGTCCACATGAACTTCTGGGTGCTTTCAGCGGGTGTAGCCACAATTTGCTGGTTAGACGAAGCCTCCCTGCGGCTGAAAAAAGCAAGACCCTTGGTCCGTAGCCTGTGCTGCTCTTCAAAAGTGCTGTGCATAGCTTTCGTGAGGAAACAAGCGTGTGAGCCTCGTCGTAGACCAAGGTCAGGTTTCGTTTTGCCGCCAGCTCCAAAGCCACGTCCAAGTCGTCTGTGATCTTCTGACTCGTCGCCGACAGTCCGCCTCTCCCAAACAGAATCTTCCCCTGCGCCAGTGAAGGGCACCATGACGCACTTGTCGGGAAACTGACGTGCCAAATGCTCCGCCAGTGTGGTCTTGCTGGTGGCTACGCTGCTGCGGATGAAGACAACACTATGTCCGCCTTCAAACAATTCGCCAACCCGCTCAGAAGAACCTTGCAAAGAAATGAAGACATGTTGGTCTTCCCGAACCACATGTCCAATGGGTTGCAGCGTTCGAGGTTTCTTAGCAGGTCGCTCTTTTCCACCTTTTGCAGGTCGCTTCATGGCAGAGAACATCTAACGTGTCCCACAACGTGGATACTCAATGTGTGCATGATAAAATGGCAAACAGTCTGTCAAAACGTGCGCTGTTCATGAATGCCGCAACTGACTGCTTGAGTGACAAGCCTCGACTCAATGGGTTGTGCCAACATCTGCATTAACGGACACATCAAATCTTGCGCCATCAAGCACCTGCGCAAAAGGCCCTACCATCAATGCCTGCCCACGAAGGAAACACTTCACATGAAACATCGTCTGCAAACAACTTTCTTGCACTAGCCTGACAGAGTAAGGAAAACATGGTTCTGCGGATCTGCTGGCATGGTCAGCGGGGTATCCGAGGCTTTTTGGCAGGCGCTCGATCTTCAAAATTCGCCAACCTTCCCAGAATAACCTTGTAGGGAAGTTGGAGACATGATGGTCTTCCTTAGCCACTTGTCCTATAGGTGGCTGCGTTCGAATGGCACGACTGGGTGCGCTGAAACTCATGGGGGCAATGCGATGGCTCTCCACCAATCGACACTGAACGCCCCAAACCGCGAAACCTTGAGCCAAACTTATGAGGGATGCACCCACCGAAATCGCGCCCTCGCCACAGTTTGGTGCGAAGCGGCCCGGGAAGGTCTTTTTGGTCTCGCGGGCCTTCTCGGGGCTGGCTGTGTCGCTTTCTGGCCGGCGGGCCCAGAATCGGGGGTTGTGTTGAAAATCGGGACCGCGGCAGGGCCGTGATGCCCGGCGATTCCGTGTGGCTGTGTTCGACCCATCCTAAACCCTCCCCGACCACGTTCCCTGGCTGGCGCCGATTCGACAGGTAAGGTGCGATTCGGCCGAAATCGTGCTCAAAACCCAGGCGGGGGGCCACCGAAATCGGAGATGGACCGAGGCGTGGTCGACTCGCAAAACGGCCGGCTTGGCGAGGCCGTCGGGGCGCAGTCTCGGCGGGCGGGCTCAAAATCCGAAAAAATTGGGGCGCGGCATGGTGTTTTAGGGCCATGGGCGTTTGGAGTAATCTCTCTCTCTGTCGCGCAGAGCGTGTCCACAGGTGAGACCGCTCGTCAGCAGCCCTGTCAATGGGACTAACGTGCGGGGAAAACATAGAGTCGGCGGAAGCATACAGCTTGGGGAACAAGTTCCGGAAAAACTACATACACGATGGACATGTCTATACAGGGCTCTTCGCTACCCTTTTCGGGTGAGACGATGGCAGGACTAGGGTAAATTTTCCGGCCACCGTGGGTAAAAGCTTAGTCAGAAAGGACGCTTCTAGAGTCGCTGGTAAAGCTCACCCGACGCACAAGGGGAATTCGTGACCACTCGCCGATAAAAGATGGATCACCTGATAAGTCAGTTGACGTTGGTGTAAAGCGTGGGAAAGCCTTGGTCCCCCGGTTCGCCTCATGTCGGCTCCCCTAGACAGCTTTGTGGAATACTTCAAACGGGGCAATTGCTAAGTTGGAGTCAATGTCATCCAGTGGGAAGTTGCTGTGCAAGCTTTGACAGATCATATGTATGGTCATCCAGAAGTGTGTCCCGTCGTACGGTGTAGACATGCACCTGCAGACCTGACAGTCTGATGGGATGTTCCAGAGGTTTCCGGTTGCGTCGTTGGGAGCCACCGGTCTCCCATGCTTGGCAAAACACGTAGGCAACAAGCGGCAGGGTCAAGTGGAACAAACGTAGGGAGGCACACCACTCCCACATCGGTCTGGAAATAGAGTGCGGGATGACATTCAGACCCACATAAAACCTCCAGAATAATTTGTTGGAAAGCGTGATACCAGTCGAGGTTGATGGTCAGGTGGGAAAAGTCTAAGGAGAGCCCATCCTCCACTGATAATCTGATCATCGTAGCGGTGGAATTGAGTACCGACCTGCAGTGGACGGGGCGCATGTGCTTGTATTGGCAATCGGCAAGAAGTCGTAATGTCAATCACTGCGGGACATAGTGGCAATCCTGCGGTTCGCGCGAAGCTGGTACCATGGCGGCACGGATAGGGAAAGGGACGATCCACGCTGTCTTGTGCCAGAACTGTTTGGAGTAATAAATGTCGTCAATGTCAAATATGGAATTAGCGTGCCACAATGATGTGGAGGAGCCCACCGAAGCCAACCTCGTGCGGCTGTTGGACCTGTGGTCGGCGGACTGGAAGCATCAAGGGCGCACCCGTGTCGTGGGGCCTGGAGCGTTCGAGAAGTATTGCACGCTGGGCTTCTTCGGTCACGGGGGGGTGTGCGGTGTTTCCAACGCAACGAGCAAGCAAGCGGCCTGCACCGCAGTGAACCGCTTCTTGAAGGGCCGCTTTCCGAACGGCACCTGGACCTCCATCGCCGTGCGTTTCAACCCTCGCATGGGCCTGCACCGTGACATTCAGAACAAGCCAGGGCACTTGAATCATGCTTTGGCTCTCGGCGATTACACCGGGGGGCGGGTGTGGATCGAAGACGACCAGGGCGACTCTACCGCGCTGCTGGCCGGCAAGGAGGGCGACCGGGAGCTGCGGGGCAGGTGGCTGGACATGCACGACAAGCCCGTCAGCTTCAATGCTCGCCGCTATCACATGGTGGAGCCACACCAGGGCAGCATGTGGGCACTCGCAGCTTATGTTCCGCAAGCCTACGCTCGGGCGACAGAGCAGCACCGAGAGGCGCTCAGAGAAGCGGGCTTTCCGTTGCCTGCTTGAACAAGTCTCTTGCCAGAGAAAGACCAGAGAGACAAAGAGACAATGAGACAACCGATTGTCTCATTGTCTCAGTTGTCTCAAGGGGGCTTTTGCTCTCTCTGGGGAGGGTGTTCCAGCTCTCCACTCTGTGATAGCTACAAGCCTCAGTTCGAGACATAGGTCAGAATTCGGTACTTTGGAGCAGTGTCGATTCGCGGGCCTACGGCCAGCAGCTCTAGCGATCTTAGGGGCTCTAAAGTCTTTGCAAAACGGGCTTTAAAGGAACTTTAAGGGCGCGCCTCCTGCCAGCAGCTCGCCAGCAGCTTACGAGCTACTTGCTGGCAACTTACGAGCACTCGCCAGCAGCTTGCGAGCTACTTGCTGGCAACTTACGAGCACTCGCTGGCGGCTCACGAGCTTCTTGCTGGCAACTTACGAGCGACTTCAAAGATGCAGCCCAGCAGCTCCCGAGCTGCCTTCGAGCTGCTCCCACGCCCTCCGCGCCGGAACAGCGCGCGTAAGCGCGCGTCGCCCCCAAAGCTTTTCGAGCCTCCCAGCCCGAGTCGGCAGACAACCGGCCTGGAATCGAAGCCTCAAAGTCTCAATGTCTCAGCCCCCTCCGGCCCCAGAGCCCTCAGAACCGGTTGTCTCAAAGTCTCAATGTCTCAGCCCCCTCCGGCCCAAAGCCCTCGAAACCCGTTGTCTCAAAGTCTCAATGTCTCAGGTCCCCTCCGGACACTCTCGAACTGCTTTCGAAGCCGCGTACGGCCAGTTTGCAAGCACTTTAGAGCCCGTAAGATTGCGAACCCTACGGCCTCCAGCCCTTAAAATCGACAGACCCTCGAAGTGGCGAATTCCAGTGTATGTCTTGAAACTGGCCTCGTAGCTACCACAGAGTAGGGAACTGGAACACCCTCCCCAAAAAAAGCCTGGTCGCCTCAAGGTCTTCAATCTCGGTTCGAAAACATCTTATCTGCATAGTAAAGCCATGCTTTAAATGCCACATTTTGCTT